TCGAAACATATTGTTAAGTTTCTCAAGCTAAAACTTAGTACTATCTACCTATATACCTAGTTAAAATTTCCTTAGGTACTAGTTCCAAGAAAGAATATCAATATCTAAATAACCAAGGACCCATAAGATATATTATTGTACTCGTCTAATTCCCACATTCCCCCTTTTCAAACAATTCAACCAACTCTGACTGTCCGGCTAACATCAAAACAAGCAAAGATTCACACACTGGCATGTATGTACGGGAAACGATATAAAGTTGAGTAGCGTTTTAGCACGAAACTAAGCACATCGCAAGTTGCCAGGCGTGCTAGCGCACATGTGACCGAATTTTCGCCCCACTTGCCTAAGTGCAATGCATAGAAACTCGGCACCTACGAACAGTATCGTCTTACCTCCACTTTCTAGCAATCTAACACATATGCACTACCACCGCCAAAGTTCGTGTTTAGTTGACTAGTTGTAACGTCTTGGAGCTCCGGGCGTTCGGTATTCAACTACACACCGATTGTATCAACGCTAGCTACAGTATTAATTTACATTTACGTAGGTACCTAACTCAGTACAATGCGCATTGGATAATACCGACCAACCATTTTAACCAAATATACAGATATGTTAATTACATAGGTACCATCCTAATTGACAGAGAATTTGCAATTCACAATTACAAACAAAATAGATTTTATTTATACCTAATACGAATAAATAAGTACCTAATAAATTATAAGTTGATGGGTAAAACTGTATAATATGCCTGTTGTGTCAATTTATTTATCGTGTGAGATTCCATTTCAATTATAAGGTACCTATGTACTGATATTCAGATCGACAAAGTTTACGTACGTACCTAGCCATTCGCAACAAACGTTTCATAGTTCATCCTTTAGACTTATGGCACGTTCTACACAAAAACAAATACACCTATTTTGATCTAAAAATACAAAGCCATTTTCCATTTTCCAATCGGTAGCTCAGGTCGGCTTGGTAGGTACCTACCTCATTTACATACATTGTTGAAACTTTTGTTCGATTGAAGTCCATCCCGCCAAAATGCGGCGGGGTGCGAATTTTTAGAAGCACGCCGCCCGTTCTAATTGTGATTCGAGTTCGAGTGGTTAAAAGCTTTTCTTGGAAAAAATCGTGACACGTCCGGAAAAGTACCTAAGTATGTAGGTACCTACGTAGAACTGACTTTACGACTTGACTTCTTGTAATAATAGATACTTGAAGTAATGTCTGTCTGTTATCATTTTGAAGACGGTTTGTCAGAAATAATTACGAAAATGTATAATAATCAAAACAATATTTTAAGCACTGCTTATGTAAATTAAGCATTAAAATGTAGGTATCTACATTTTCATCTGACGCGGTAAAATATTTTTCATTATCTACAACTTATAGTGATATGCCATAGAGTTAGATAACTGTGTAGGTAACTTATCTACATTTGATGAACTTATATTTATTTACCTAATGTATTTGTGCCTATATTTTGTTAAATATTTTATGAAATGGAATTGATATTGTTTTACGCCTCAGTTACAAATTGTTAGCCTGATGAATACCTAAATAGCAAACAACACCGACCGTAAACTAATATTAGTTACAAGCATGAAATAGGCTCGTACATCCAGTATGTATTTAGCCTACCTCTACGTACCTATTGTCTAATTAATTACAAGAAGGCGAACGAACATTTGCTCTGTATTCGTAATGTAATTTTAAAACATTGTTGGAAATACAGTATGGAATTATGCAGTTTACAACGAAACTCGAAATTTCTCCAGGGAAACCTACCCCACCTCTAGAAAAATGGGTTCTCGGAGATAAACATGATCTGAAGAAATTAATTTAAAAATTGTTCTGTTTGATTCCCTATCCTCAGAGCTCTATGCTGTCAAGGGATTGCTGTAATTTGTCTTTAGGTTACTACTTGGAAAATTTCACTTCTTGGATTTGTTTCATTTAAAAAAATCATTAGGTAGGTACTTACCTAAAGAGTTTTCTTTTTAATTTAACTACTAAAGATTCACGGAATATATCCTATTAAAATTTGATGGGTATAAGTAGTTACGTAGTTCTGTACATGTGCAATTAAATATCGACTAAAATGTGACACATTTTAAGTAGGTAGGTACCCACCTAGTACCTGCCTTCAGCTAATAATTAGGTATCAACCTAACTTAATCCTAGTAACGAAAAAGACGTGAATATTTTTAGTTCCTGTTCGATTTGCATTTCAGTAAGTAGGTAACTAAGTAAAAGTATGAAGGGTTTCCAAATACGGCATGGCCTTGCAAAGTATTGAGGGGTCTCTTAGCTGGCTAACACTTACAATTCAATCGCACTGTGAGAGCCATCGACTCGTGTAGGGATTGTTGTCGACACGCCCCTCATTGCCGAAACGTTTCCTTAGAGGGCGAGAGAGCAACTTAAAACCAATGTATTGATATCGTGGCTATTTTTTAATGTTGGGTTGTATCTAATTGCTAACGCTTAGGCCACTATACCAATATTTTCACCAACACTTTTTTGATAGATACATAGAAATACCAAATTCATACCTATAGGTACTAAATAGTTATTTCGCTACATATCCACAAACAGACAGAGAAGAGCCGTCATCATGTGGCCTCGTAGTTACCATGACCGCTCTTCCAAGACTGAAACGACAACGCAGAAAGAGTTTGACACTCCTTAGCTACATTCTAGTCATTTGACGTAAGTAGCTAGGTAACAAACCACGGAAAAATTAAGGAAAGTTCTTTTTTTATAAGTAATAGGTCAGCAAACGAGCAGACGGATTACCTGATGGTAGCAATCAGCGCCGCCCATGGACACCCGCAACGGAGGAGTAACAAGTGCGATGCCGACCTTTTAGAGATTAGGGATTTGGAGATTTAGGGATTTGGGATTGGGGTAGGAGCGGGCCGGAGTAGGCCGCCGGTAACCTCACTCACACGGCGCAACACAACGCTGTGGTTATTTCGCCGATTTTCTGTGAGGCCGTGGTATCTATACTTATCTTCGTAATATAATTCATTGTATCTACATAGGTACCATCTACAGGTCTTTCTTCTAAAGTAAGGTCTTATTCGGGTTTTCTAGCTAGTCTCATAAAATTCACCTAGTTTATTTATTAGATACCATTAAACGCTAAGAATCAAAGGATAATCAAACAAAGTGGAAGCCATAATCAAAGCACTACGGAAGAGAATTGCTGATGCCCGCACGGGGACATTGGCACCGACACAGGTTGTCGCTGATAACGATCCTATCGATATAATCGCTTGGGTGCCACTTGCCGGCAATTGACGTAATAGAATGCTCTATTAGTAGAAGGTGACACACAATGAACCTTAATGTTGTCTCCTAGGTAGGTAGTATAGCCACCTACCCACCTTCCCTCCAGCCACATTTCCTAAAGTATGCTCGTTATACTAGTGATTCTCACGAGACCAACTTCTACCTACACGAAAAAATTGCATCCGTTTTATGTCGATTTATAATATCATTCTAGAGATACTCAAACTTCAAACAAATCAAATGTAAAAACCAACAGTAAATACGAACCACGTAATGTTCAAACTAAAAGACACTTTAACGTCATACAAAAAGGAAACTTAATTAAAGTAATTCTGTATTTACCACCCTAAATTCCAGTTTAAACTTTGAACTGCGTTGTTGTTAGTAAGTTCTTTAGTTTCGTGCACAACGAAACTTCGGAAGAACAAATATCAAATTTATTACATGCGAATAGGTGGGTAATCTCAATTAAACCAGTTCGCTTCGAAACTAAGATCGTTTAAATCGTGTATGTGTGAAGTAGTGTAGGGTAGGTATGTACATCTACACAGCGAGTTAGGGACCACCATCACATAAACTGAAACTGTAACTGTAAACAAGTCTTAACAAAGTTTTGTGGTTAAGTTGTACGGTCTCTTAGTGTTTCGCACGATTCTATTGTTTAGTATGAATAACTATGCGGGAAGATAATGTGGCCGCCGTTATTTATTGGCTATTAATGCTCCAACTTCATTCGCTTCATGACAGAATTCAATACAGTTTCAATAAACATATAAGTAATGTTACATGGTTAGCACCTACTAAGGAATATTGTAATAAAATAGTGAACGGATGGTTTTTCTTTGTGGTTTTTAATAAATATGTTACGTAGAAGGTAATATGTAATTCATTCATTATTGTAACGTAGTTCGACAAGTATCAACTTTATAATTTCGAGCCGGAAACTCCATACCTACATCGTTAGTCCTCAATATATTCTTCGTATAGATAACAGCACTATATTTAGGCAGGCCGAGTCAGGCATTCTGCAAACGGGTAACTTCGAGCAAACAGACGCTTGGCGTGTTAGCAGGGCAAATATGGAGCAATAGCATGCACATGACTTGCAAAATCAATTGCGTACATAACACAACTTTAACACCAAGTCGCCATAGTTTTTATGCCGTTATTAATATTTCTCGGGTATTCTGGAAAATTTCAAAAAAAAAACTGGCTTTGTTGACATTCAACTTTTGCATGAGAATGCGAAATAATGCCTAACGCCTTAAAGTAACGTATTAAATTAGTAACGTATTAAATTAGTCACGCTTTTTTGTTAGTGAGCGAAAGGCTACACAATAGGCATGAAAACTTTTTCGAGTTCGTAAAATGAAAAAGTAATTTCATTTAACAAAATTATTTATTTAATTAATATTGAATTATTTACGAAAGTAGAAATACGAAAAAATAAATAAATAAAGGTGCATCAAGATTTAAAAATTAAAAAAAATATGATTTTGTTGTCATCCTATCACTTTAAATAGTATGCAAAAAGCTGAACTGTAAGGCGAATAAAACTATGAATCATGTAAAATAAAAATGAATTAATTGAACAAATGTATATTTTAATAACATTTAGTACAAAAATTTAAAATTGCACTAACATACGATCTGCACACTTACAATTTCAATGTCCCACATCACAGCACATTCCTTACAATTGTGATGTGGACACATTATAACAATCAATATGTATAGCACTTTAATAATAATTCGTTTAAAAACACTACTTATGCTACAGATTCACTTCGATTTTTCACTTTTAACTGTAAGTCAATAATAACGGTTTTCTTAAATAAATCTACTAGGTCATTTCTAACATGTGATTTGATTTGTTGTAGTCTACCACCACCAGCCCCAGCTATTAACCTTAATAATCTTTCATTGGGGCACTCTACCACTACTGCACATAGAATTTTATCTTGTTCTTCAATTTCTTCATAGTATTCAAGTTGAACATTCAGTTTGTATGGGATCTCTTGTGCCAAAAAGTCTAAAAACTTAGCCCTAACTGCTTCCATTATAAGAGTTTCTGGTTTCTGGTCTGTCCATTCTGAGAGAGCATATTGGTATCCAGCAGTCTTTGCATTGCTGATAAGATAGTTCTGGAACAACCAATGACATTCAAACATTAATAATGTTTAACTTTGACAGCTAAATTAATGTGTACTGAAGTAAGTATCATGAAATATCAATAAATTTCTTTGCCTGTCTAAAATAGCTAACCAAAAGGTGGTGAAGATGTTTTATTTTATAATGACATAGGAAAGCAATACCCACTGCTGAATATTATAACATACAAAAAGTTAATACTTTGTGGATTGATCATGTTTCCAACATTAAATTTGTTCATACCTTTATATCCAGTATTCCATCACCATTCAGTGCTGATATAAGAAAGACATCAGAGAATTTACTGTATCCTTTTTCTAATTTATTTTCAGTGTTCCTTTTCCGTCTTTCTGATCCAGGGATAGGATTGCCAGCAATCATACCATTGGTGAGACTTCTTATTATGCCCAGAAGTTGATTTTTTGATTTTAGTTTATCAATCTGTAAAAACAGTTTAATGCATCTAAGTACTTAGTGCAAATAAACATTTGGATGTTTTAGAAATTAAAGTGGTAGTTGTAATATATACTTACTTTATTAATAATTAAAAAGCTTGGTACATCAGCTATAACATTGAGCATGTTGATTACATCTGAGTGTAAAACATCTTTTGTATATCTATTAGAAACATCATGAACCACACCAACAACATCAGCACACCTCAAGCTTTTGTGGCACGCTCCCATCATGGAATCAGGCAAATTATATCTGTAATGTTTAACCAAATTACTTATTAGAGAGGTAAATTAATATTGTGGAAATAGGGACATGAATAAAATTATTGGTGAATGTTAAATCTTTTCAGCTTTTAACCATGGTGATTATAGATGCAATAACAGAACAACAGATGCGGACACCAAAGTTTCGAATGAATGTTTCAGTAAAATTTAACCGAGATCTTACATTGCAGTCAAACTTACTTTTTCTTTTCTTTTTCGGTGACAACTCCAGGAGTATCTAAAAATATGATCTGTGTATCATTTTCATAGCACATTGCTCTTACTAACTTGGTCGTCGTGTGTACTTTGCTGGAAGCTGCACATATCTAAAATCCAATATAGATTGCATATTTAATTTAATAAAAAACATACTACTTAACACACATTTTTAGGTTATGAAAATAAAGTAAACAAATCTAACCTTCCTTTCAGTAACTTTATTTATGAGGGTGCTCTTTCCAGAATTTGGCGCCCCAATAATAGCTACGTTAACAACTTTTCCTAAGTTTCTTTCACTAGCACGTTCTGGCTGTGATGAATAAAAGACTGCTTTGAAATTCTGTTTTCTATATGTCAAACGCAAAGCACACAATATAAATGTAGTCATTATGTATTTATATTGATGCCACAAGTATTCAAACCACTTATTACTACTTTAAAAAATGCACTTCTCTTTATTTACTTTCTGTTCCGCAATAAATAAATCCAATGCATCTATTGACAATTGACATTAGCTGATTGACTGACATTTTGCCCGAGTGACATGACGTAAAATCAAAGACCTGTTGAATTTATATACCTACTATAAGCGTAAATTACAACTATCACGACTCAGGAGGCCTAGGACCTAAGCAGGAGACCAAGAAGGCAAGGTCCAAGGGACATACTAGATATTAGCGATTTGGGACTTCGAGAGACCGTAGTTATACCGTAACAGGTAACCAAGACCGCAAGGTCCAAAGGACATTTTTTAGGGACTCGAAATACAGAGCTACTCTATAAGTCTATGATACAACATAATCTACATGTTCGCCATTTCATTCGGCCATTCAGCATCCAGTTCAGCTCTCCCCCTTTATTATGTAGCTATTGTACTTTACTCAGCTGTTCAGCACATAGTTTTAGTATTATTGTAGGTCTGTGGTTCAGCATTAAGAGATTCTAAACGTCATAGATTATACACTATAACTGGAACTAAACGTAGTGGTTTACTGTGGTTACATACTCTTACTCTTTGATTCAGTCAGTAGTTCAACAAGCTCTATATAGTTTAATAGTTTTTTCAATAAAATTGTGTTACGGATCGGACCCTTCTGTGTGTTAAGTTTTTATCACTGGACGTGTTTTCATTAAAAACATCCTATAGACTTATTTCAATTTAACACTACTGTGTTTGCATTTTTATAACTTTTTGAACTGTGCCTATTTATTAATATAAAAGTTTATAATTAGGGACTTAGTTGCAAACGAAAATATAAGTGTACGAAAACAGGAAATAAATGCTGTTTAATAATTAAATAAAGCTGATTCTCAAAGAAGAGCATGCTTAGTTAAAAAATCGCCGGTATGATTTTCAGGTAAGAACTTCATTTCATAAATCACTTGAGTATTACACCTAAGTAGGTACATAATTTATTTCACGCACCATTTTTATTTATGTTGATTATGTTCAGTATCATATTGTTACTTTTTTTATTTAATTCCTTCCTGTTCCACGATTTGCCAAACTTTCTAAATTATTTATTTTGTTTTATTTTTTTATTTTCCAGAAATGTCAGAGATAAAGTATAAAAATCAAATTTTGGCTGCTATAGATCATTTACGCTCACGTAAATCGCGTCCAGATATAAATAGAATTTGCAAGTTTATGTTAAAGTGTTATAAGGTATTACCTAAAGATACTAAAGCAGATCTCAAACGCTGCCTGAAGGAGAAAAGTATTTTTAAGGTTGATTATAAAGATAATGTAAGCTATAGAAACGCTGCTAAGTGGCGAAAAAAATCAAACAGTGAGTTTAAATTGTACAGCTTTTCAACTTTTCAAAGTTTCTCAAATGTATGAGAATGAAATGTACCAAGAAGTGACCAGTCATTTCTGACAATGCGCAGTTTGTCTTATAATTATAAAAAATATAATACATAATTAAACACATTTTCTTTTTTAGAAATGTCTTCATCAATTGCTACTAGTGAACGACGGGTTATAACTTCAGCGATTGCTACATTGATATACCAGGATCAAAGCTATTTGGAAAATGGAATTGCTTTTGATGATCTTGTGTCAGCGGCTGCTTCACAAGGATCAAAATATTCAAAGAAACAACTTGAGGCTATTGTCAACAAAGAGTTATCATCAGGAAGTTTGGTCAAATTACAAAATGGCAACTTGGCATTAGGCCCTGCAGACCACGATGGTGATAGCTCCGACAGCTTCAAATTTGAACAGTATCATGCTGATTTCAGCAATACTAAGGTAATTTTTAATGTTTCTGTTTGAAAATGCTAAACTGAATTAACTTGGAATTTCATCAAAATCATAATCTATACTTCTATACTAATATTATAAAGAGGTAAAATTTGTAAGTTTGTATGTATGGGGTAATCTTTATAACCGCTGGTCGGATTTCCAAAATTCTTTCACTGATAGATAGCTACAATGTTCCTGAATGCTGTAGGCTATAAAACATCACGCTACGATTAAATGGAGCCAAGCAGCGGGTGAAACCGCGCGAGAGTAGCTAGTATTCAATATTGCAATAAGTGAGTTGTATGACGTAATACAATAGACAAGGAGGTTGTGAGCATCACATAAATGTAGATACAACCAATATATATCATCAAAAAGTTGTGTAGCTAAGGTAATAGATAATCTAAGCGAATAGGCTATAAAACCAAAAGAGGGCACAAAAAAAGCTAAGTGACATTTGTCATCAATCATTTGCAAATAATGTAAAATTAGTGTTTTTTTCGACATTTCCAGATGACTTCGTCTGCAAATTCATCATGTAGATCGTCACCCCAAAGAATGCGTGGAAGACCAAAGAAACGAGGTGGTGGATCATCTAGTAATGGAGTAAGCGGTGGCAGTACATCTCGTAATGCCGGTGTACGCGTCGGCGAAAGACGTAAAATGGCTAAGAAAGTGTTTGATCCATCTGATAATAATGTTCCTAGCAAACGAAAAAGGGGAAGGCCAGTGGGGTCATTAAATAAAAGTACAATTAAGAAAAGACTTATTTCTGCTGGACTTCAGAAATCTGATGTGGATGGAACACAATTATCTGAAAGTCAACTATCCCTGGATGGAAGTGGTGATGAATTAGAACAAGAAGAGTCCCTAACTCATGAGACATCTGGAGGAGTATGTTCGGTTTGCCTAGTGCAGAAACCTCGCGGGTCAAATGATAGACTGGTTGAATGTAGAGATTGTAACAACAAAGCTCATTTAAGTTGCCTTCAATCAGGGTCCGGCATTTTGAAACCTCGCCCAGATAACACTTGGCAATGTCCTCATTGCAAAACTTGTGTGGTATGCTGTGAAACTAATGATGCTGTAAGTTGCTTATTATTTCTATTAAATGCTAATATAAATATTTCAAGTATAATTTATAATAAAATATAATAATACCTATGTATATATGGTTTGGTTTCAGGGTGTTTTAACTGTCTGCAGTATTTGTTCTGATGCATACCATGCACTGTGTCACAGTCCTCGGATACCAGAAAGACTGAAAGCTTGGGATCAATGGGAGTGCAACAACTGTCTAGAATCTCGACCAACCGTTGTAGGATCACCTGCAATACGTGGTAGTATGGAATATGCTGCGCAAAATTCGCCTTCTATAGACCCGTTTCTTAAGCCACATGAGCTTGATAGAGCCCCTTCAAAACTTGTTGAGGAGGTGCCAATTGACCCAAACATTCCAGATATAACCAATTGGAATACTGATGATGTGTTTGAATACTTTACCAAGCACTTACCTGAAGCTGCTCCGATTCTTAAAGAACAGGTAATATTTAATAATACACATTTATTTTTTCCACAACCGCTCTATTTTAAAACTTAGTAATATAAAAAGATTAAGTTATTTATATTAAACCAATTCTTTTCGTATTTCAGGAATTCGATGGTCAAGCATTGAGTATGGCTCGGCGTGCCGATATAGTACGAGGGCTAGGCTTACCTTTGGGCCCAGCACTGGCGTTGTATCGCATTATAGTTAAATTACAAACAAGAAAAGACGACTGGACCATGTGCTGGGGTTAAAACATCATTTATTACAACTTCTCTGTTGTAAGAAGATGATATAACTAGTAGTTTATTTAATGTAATTAACATAAATATAGTTCTAATTAATTTTATTACTTGTTTAATTTTTTAATTGCACCAACCTCCCATTAACAATTCTTAGATATGAAATGTAAATACTGTATAACAATGTGTATAGATACTAGCTAGATGAATTGGGTAGTTTCCTGGGTCAAAAATAAATTAATTCGACGTTTCAATACAAAAAAATATTGAAAAATAACTATCCTTTCATTCATCTATCGATCGATACACTAAATTTTAGATATTTTTAAGAAGAGGCGGTATGATCTAAGAATACTATGACGTCATAACTCAGCATTTCATAGAAAAGTATCGTTTTTGACATTGGATAAAATTATTGAATTTGACTAGATGGAAACTGCCGTATTGCCCAAGATCTTATTCAACCCCACTCAAAGTGGTACTTTCTTGAGTCTGCATATTCTGAAATTTTGGGATACATGACGATTCAAAGATTCATTCAATCATTCTTCCTACCAACGCCCTGCCTGCATGCAACAGACGCTTAACTTGCTATAAAAAAAAAAACAATAAATTAGGTACTTACTAGGAATTCTTAAAACAATGGACTAATCAGAGTACAAATTACGGATAGTACGAGATTGTGCGTATGATGGGGTTTTACTCTAGATGTGAGTACTTTTATAATATAATAGCTACTCGCGCACGGTTTTACCCGCTGCTTGGCTCCATTTAATCGTAGCGTGATGTTTTATAGCCTATAGCACTCAGCAACATTGTAGCTATCTATCAGTGAAAGAATTTTGGAAAAAAGATCACCCCCTACATACAAACTTACAAATTTTACCTCTTTATAATACTAGTATAGATAATATGATACCTAAACGGTAATTTTTTTATCTTTATACTAATTATCAGATCACTATAGGTGTAGGAGTAACGTACAAATATGACACACTGCAGGTTTATAGTAAAATTGTATACCAGTGGTGTATTTTACGAAATAATACATAATATAGGTACCTACAGTAATCGTGACCAACTTTACTTTTTAATTATCACCATCTCTGCTTGCTTTTATTATTTATTATCAGTATGATAAGTCATCACTGATAAAACAAGATACAGCTGTAGTATGGTGTTGAAATATTAGGTAAAAATCTACTTTGCATTCAAGACTAGTGAGTTACAAACTCAATGAATAAAACTATTTTGTTATTAATTTTATATATTATATAATATATTTTTTAAACTTGGTTGCCACATACCAGCATGAAAATTGGGAAACATTAACAATGTTTTTGCAAAAATGTTAAAATATTACACCTAGTTTGTCTTATATAATATTCAAATAAATAAAATCTGTAACTATTTTAATATCACATTGGCGAGCATTGTACTAGCACTCATATTTACTAAACACAAGAGACAATCCCAACAACTATTTTAGTTAAATAATAAATATTTTGATCTGGGACATCCCAAGCTCTCATAAATCTATCTATAAATTAACAATACCCAAAAGTAATATTTTTATACAAAGTATGTACAAAATAAAAATCAATTATCATCAGTGACTTTTTTGGTCATAATGTTTCATGAATGATAGGAAAATGTTAAATATCATTGTTGCTACATTTATGTATACCACCCTGTAATGTGTAGGTAAAAAGTAAAAGTTAATAAATTGAACTGGTGGCCAATACATACAATCACCCTGAAACAAAAAAGAAATATCTTGATAAAATAGAAGTAACAGATGTAAAAATAATAAACTTAAAATGAATCAACATACCACATAGGCATACAATAATTTCTTTTTAATCTCTTCTGTACTCTCCCTTAAAGTTTTTTGTTCTAAATATCCCATGCCATAGAAAAAAGTAATTAGTGTAACCGGTGATGCGAATGCTTGATCACAGCCTATTTTTAAAAATACTGTTTTTAAATTAACCTTTGGTAACAATTTGTCTAAATAATCATAATAAAAGTGGTGTAAAGGGCCCATAGCTGTCCCAACTGTAAACATGCGAGCTGAAATAAATAGTACAAATATTATTAAAAATATAATACAGTTATTAGAAATATACAAATAGATATGTTTTCTTTATGACACACTTCTATGATTTCTAACAAAGCTCAATCATTTTCAGAACATTTTCATACCTATTCTTCCCCAGTCATATCTTTCAGGTAGCACTTTGGTTTGAAATTCAAATTCTTGTTGTATTAAGTCCCCAAGAGCCATGCAGACTCCTGATGTTAAACTGTTAGTTAAAAATAGGTTTTTCTTAAAAAAGAACGTCACGCCTCTGTGAAACATCGATTCTTTCCGCATTTGTAATTTAAGCGGACTAATCTGTTTTATTCCGGTTTTGAAACATCGAATGGCAAACATTCTGACGACCTGTAAAATAAAAATGATTATTTAAGATTACAATGACCTTACAAAAATATTTACTTATGTGTGCCTAAAGATAAAATAAATAATACTTTAATTTATTAGAGGTATCATTAAATGAAAAAAGAAATACTACGATTCTAAATGGCTATAAATTCTCCTAACTAATTAAAAACCTATGCAATAATAACTATGATTAAGTAATGAAAACGTATTGAATTAAAAATTGCGCCCTCGTTCACAAGCTAACTTACCTCGAAAAAATTGACTTTAAATGTAATTTTTGACATTGACGTACTGGTTGACAGTGACAACCATTTCGTTTAATTTCAGCAACACAATCCAATCACACAATATCAATCAACTTATTGATCCTAGACTACATCCTTTTTCTGGGCAGCAACTAATATTATTAAATCTTTATATGTAGGGTTTTTGTGTATAAGAAAACAACACTTAGATAAGTTTATGATTATCGGCGTTACTTTGTTGCTTTACATTAGTAACTTGAGTGTGTCGTAAAAGTTTTTGATTTTGTAAGAAACAAAAATCGTCGTCTAAAGTTTAAATAATTATGGTTTAAAATTTCATTAATCTTACTGATAGACGTTAAATCAAAATTAAGTCCAAGTATAACAGTAGCTATCGTTAACCGTTTATACCTTAAAACGTCATTGTTCAATATGCTTTCGCTATCTTCATTGATTGAATGTAAAGTAGTGGAACGGTAACGCTAATAAACTTAATTATGTAAAAGAAAATGAAAAATTCACAAGGTTATAAATAAATGCGAAAATTAAGTATGGATAACTGAAATGGAGTGAGTTTACTCTCTCAAGAGAAAAAAATTGACTAGGCGGCAGGTGATCATGGACATCTGAAACAATATACTATTTAAGCTACTTCATAATCCTAATAATCCTTGATGTGATTACTACTTATAAAACTTATATATAGTACAATACTGACATACACCTACTAACGTGCCTACTAACATCATTTACTTCTATACTTTTCTTTGTGAAACGAAACGTTGCAATATAAAACTTACAAACGTCAACGTCAAACTACAAATAGTGCCATTTTCATTAGAGCGCAAAAGAAAAAGTAAAAACATCACCCTGAATGTGATTGAAAACAAATAATTAAGCATAAAATGGCCCTTCAAAGTGATCATTTAGATTTTTCTGGCTTATTTAAATTAGATGTATTGATACATCTCGATATTACTACTTACAGTTTTTATGAAGTGGGTCATAAAAAGTTTTTTGCATTTACCAGTGATAAAGAACTGGTGTTTATGTATATCAATCCTCAGTTAGAAAGGTTTGAAAAGAATTATGACTGGGATTTCTTCGACAATCCAATTTATTGTATGTGTTTTGAACCAAGTGGTACATGGGTGATAATTGTTAGTGAACAAAAGGTTCTACTAGTGCCATATCTTCCTCTTTTCATTCCTCAAAACACATTTGATCATAAGTGGTCACTATCAAGAGTTACTGTTTTGCCACTGGGAAATATATCCAAACCAACATCTTTAGTGTGTTGGTTGACTAAGGAATCTGAGAGTGTATTGATTATTGGATCAAAGGTATTGATTTTCTCTGGCACAATTATAATCGGCTATTGTAAATATTTATCTGAGGAAAGAATGTAGCCAACTAACCTTTTGATTTAAATAATAATTCTCATTTTACAGTTGGGTACAATAACATTTTACTCCCTAGACTCACAAACCATTGTAGGAGAGTGCAAAGTTCCAGGAGAAATAACAGACTTACAAATATGTTTTGATGATTCTTTAGACTTGTTAACACTCTTGGTAAGCATCATTATTAATATTTATTTATGCCTATGTAAAATAATTTACATATAGAATTAATTTTTGCTCAATCATAGCCAGTGTTAAGCTTGATGTTATTTTTATATAACCTTTAAATCATGTTAAAATACACACCTGTATGACATAACGAACTAGATTAATTATATGCCACCACAGATGAACAGCTATCAAAATTTAATTGTACTGCAATATTATTTATGAAGCTGGCTAGGTTATTAATAGAATGATTTACAATCCTTTCCCCCTTTTTTAGATATCAATTAGTTCAGCCCAACAGTGTAAGTTGGTGTTGGAGCATCGATCATTCGGCTACAACTGGTTGCAACAAACTCGAGCACAAAATGATAAAGATAAAAGAGACAGCTTCATGTCTTACATCAAGCAGTTATCTAAGGATAAAATTACTTTCTTTATACAAGGTGGTTCAAAAGGTATAGATGGGTATTACTCAGATGAGTTTGTGATTATTGAAGTTGTTAGATTAACACCCGGTTTCTGAAAGGCTTGTCAACGCTAAAATTAACTAATCTCCTGTTAAATCTCTTGTCAAGTCACCTGATTGGTTGTTGATAATTCAGTCAACCAATCAGATGACTTGACAAGAGATTAAATTGATTTTAACATTGATCGGCCTTTCGGAAACCGGGGGTAAGACTAACTTTCTGTCACCTAATTGGTGAATAATAATAACAAATTTTCTTATTAATTACACATATTATTAATATTATCACTTTTATCATTATTACAATAAAAGTTACACAGTTTTTATTTTACAGATGATAATAAGTCACAAACAGTAGAATATGTTTTGAAACCAACAGAGTATTTGCCTCTATTTCGTAAAGGCTCCAACAGCTGGGCATTGACAGCACAATATGTTAATGGGCGACATTTTCTCACGGCCTTTGAATTAACTGAGGGAACCCTAATTGTAAGTAAACTTTTGTAAAATACAAAAATTACTATAGTGATACAGTCCAGATATTGCTATGACACTGATACCTTAAAAAGATAATTGAAATAAATTTGCCTGTTTTCTAAAAGGAGTAGTCCATTATAGACTTATATTAAACTCACTTATATGTCAAGTAGTAGAACCAGTCAACCTAATGTTACTTATTTTCTTTCTAGTTAGAAAGTCCAGAAGAAGATACACCCTCAAGAACTTTAAGGCCTCATATCAAAAAGGATGGTTTATACATACAGGGTCTATGGTCACAGAGAATCATATACCTAGTGAGAAAGAAAGAAATAGAGGTGCACTCTGCTAGTTTTTCTGTTATTCAGGTAAACAAAGATGTGACGTCATAAATATGTTTTCTAGTCCCTTTGTGTGTTTGTTTGTGTTATGTCTTTCTTTATAACACATGATTTCACCTAGTAGTATTTTGTTCTAATGTTGACACACATGACAGGTACATAATAATAATTATAATGTATTGTTTATTAAGTATAAAGAAATTATACTTTATTTCATCATATTACTATTTTTTCAACTGTATTGTATTCAACATAAAGTATAATTTAGTATCATCTTGTAAGTTTGTTTATGAGACATAACATCATTATACCCATACCTACTATAGATAAGAATATTGAAATCAAACAACCTAAAATGTGCAGGGAGATGGTCTGTTAGATAATTGCATTCTAGGTAATTATGTTATAAAATATTCTTGTAGGGTGAAGCTCTACTAGGCGCTAAAAGGGATACGTCAGAGCTTTGGCGAGCAGAACTAATTGGTGATGTGAAGCGAGCGCACTTGATGTCAGCTCGCGAGCCTCCCGCCATGGCCGGCGGATGGCGTGAGCCTACCTTCATGTGTGACTTGCAACTGCCACGGTTCAGTCTTGAGTCTTGCCTCATAGTCACCAATAAGGGAGCTTACATTCTTAATACAGTGTGAGTCAAAATTATTAGATTATCTATTTTAATTACTTAGTGTAATTTACTCATTAATTTGTCAGCACAGGGAAAAGTATATGCTTAATTACTGCTTTACTTTGTCATTTGTTATAATGAGGTTTTAATCACTCTTTGTTATGGTTATATTTCGTCTATTTGTCCAACTGTGTACTAGAGAATAGTCATTTGACATAGCTGATAGCAGAAACTTTGACTTTATTATTTATTTATCACATATTACTTTGCCATTACAGATAACCTAGTTCGACATAGTAACTTAAAATCATACTTTACTTATACCACAGATGGGATTGAAAAAAATCATATTATAGATTAAGCATGATCGAAGATGTAATGAAAAAATGAAGAATCTAATGTTCTAAGTTATTTTTAGGAGTGAGGCATGTGAATGGTTGGTAGGTGTAATAATGCGTGGTGGGGTTGGCGCGGAACAGTCTTGCGCCGCGCTAGGAGCGCCGCTACCTGCCTTACTGCGCGCCGCCGCAGACATGTTACTGTCTCGCGGCAAGATGCAGCCTGCGTTATACCTGTACTCGTTGTCACAAGTATGTATGAAACTATGAACTTTATTCTTTATACTATATGAGCTGTACTCCCTTGATAATTTTAATGGATAATGAACAATCAGCCGTTGCGGTTTGTAATCCGGTAGTTTCCAACTAGTCAAATCCAATACTTTTATTGAAAGGAAAAAAACGATATCTACTTTTCTATGAATTTTGTGTGACTGGCAGCATATGATTTCATTGTTTTGAACTGAAAAGGTTTAAAAATTTATTGTACTGAATAGTCAAAATAATTATTTTTTTACTTAGGAAACTACCCAATTGAGCTCCGAAATCGGCTCCTTGAATATGTCCCTCGTTCAAAGTCTCACCTCCTTGTAAATATTGTTGTAGTCTGGGTTTATTAATATGCAAAACAATTTTTGCGCCTAAAATGTATCGATTTCTTTTAAAAAGTCACTCAAAACAGGGTAATGCTGACTTTGCTTCCTTGTTCCATTTCAGAGTCAGCCAGATGGATGGGTTGCTCGTCTTGGAGTGTTCGGTCGACTTAACGAATTAGCAGCTTACAAACAGACCGGCAATATAGGCAGTCTTGGCGACGCTGCCATAACGGTCAAACTTCTAGCTGCATTGCTAAATATGACTATTGATAACCAGGATAATTTAGATCCGTACGTTTTGAATCTTTTACTTCGCACATTGAACTTTGCCATTTAGCGCTAAAGCTCAAAATTGATCAGATATAATGAACCTTATGTCTTATATTTTAGTGACATCAAGTTAACAGCGTTGAGTCCAATAGAATTACTGGAGTTATCGTCTTTTGCTGCGTCAGTGGGTCTCTGGGACATGCTACCAATGTTCAGCATTCATCGCGGATACCCTAACGTGTTACTCTCGGCCTTAAAGTCCCGAAGTGATATCTGTCGCGGAGCCATCAACTGCCTACTAGGACAACGGTGCTTAGTACCATTGTTACTAGAAGAAAATGGACAATGGCTATTTGATTATATCGTCGAAAACTGTAAAAAGTTCGACACTACTATTTTGAAGGTAATTTATTAGCGCATAATATCAAGTTATTACATTTTCAACCATAAGGCTTTTCAATAAAGTTCAAAATCTTAATTTAGACATCTAGTATAAAGGCTGGTGATTTGGATTTGTAAAATAACAAAAAGTTACATCTGTAAGAGTATGTTGTTTTGTAAAAGATATGGTTATTTATGGTTGTCTTTCATTCCAGTGTTTGTCGTTATGGTTGAACCCATTACAAGATCAGTTACGACCAGTAATGCGCGATTTGAAACAAGGAATAACTTCTATTTATGTAAGTCAACATTTATAACAAATTAGCTTTTGCTCGCGGGTTTGCTTACTTTATCTACTTACCTTACTTAACTTACCTTACATACCCTACCTTCTTTTTTCATAAAAAAAATCTCCTTACAGTAATAAACTCAAAAAAAGCAGCGAAATTGGTTCAGCTGTTCTCGTTATTTGATCTTAGCAAACATTTAGTGATTCATTTTTATATTATAAAATAACGTTCCATTCTATTATAATGATGATTTGTCCTTAATATATTACAGACAACTAGGTTACAGCAATTGATTGCAACTTTCATACACATTGCATGTGTCATAGATGCAAGGGATCCATGCACAGAGATACATTTGGAGGTTACACAAACTCCCGAGACTTGGAAGAATCAATTTACTCCTAAAAGAGGTTTAAGTTGTGGACTAGCACATTGGGCAGTTGTCGACGAGGGTAATGCGAAGATAATGATGACAAATACTCCAATAAATACTGAACTGATCGGTAGAGTCATTGACGTGGCGTGCGGCAGACATCATACGTTGGTGTTGACCGAAAATGGGGTATGTGTTATTTATAGCAAATAATATATTTTATTACAGGCTTATTTACACCCGGTTTCCGAAAGGCCGATCAATGTTAAAATCAATTTAATCTTTTGTCAAGTCATCTGATTGGTTGACTGAATTATCAACAACCAATCAGATGACTTGACAAGAGATTTATCTGGAGATAAGTTAATTTTAGCGTTGACAAGCCTTTCAGAAACCAGGTGTAAGACTTTTTACTGCAGCTTACTTAGTCTTCTGATTTAGAGTATTAACTATATGTGTTTAAATAATTGTATTTTTCTCACAAAAATTGATTTAAGAAAATGCAATCAAATTTTGTTCTCTAATGAGTTACTTTCTCATTGTCTCGCAAACTTATTGACAATATTTCTCTGTATTAACTTTTAAACTTTCGCGTTTCATATTAACTACATATTATTAAACGGGTATTATAGTGAAAAGTAATTATTTATAATACCTTGGAAGGCTTGACTGACAGTACAGTCTGCTTGCGACCACGACCTGTGCAACCAAGTCGAAACGTCAAGCCTTTCAAGGTATTTAGACACTAAATTTTCGCGTATATTTATTTCTTTAACCTTTATGCACAACGTACATGCCAACAAGCATTCTTGCTAGCCAACCTTTGGGTGATGCAGTAAGAATATGGTCGGTTCAAAAAAAGTAGGTACAAGACTAACTTAAAAGTAATTAATTAAAATGCATAACACAATGAATATAATATAATAATATAAATACAAACATAGTAATATGCATGAATGCACATATGATACATAAGTAATACATAATACATATAACATACATAAGTATAGGATATTCACATAAAGTAAGTAGGATAGTTTATAATAAAGAATATTTTGCCAACTTTCCCTCCAAGATACACTTGCGAACTCCGGCTTTGAAAGACTGCTTGTTCTTTGCTTTCCTGATTTCCAATGGCAGGCCATTCCATAAAAGGATAGATTGGATGTGAAATGATGAGTGAACAGTGTCAGAGCTGTGGGAAGGACAGTGAAGAAGAAGATTGTTAGAAGAACGAAGATTTCTAGAATGTCCCAAGTATCGGTATTGAAAATAAGGTGTTAGGTACAAAGGAGGAGTAGGAGAGTTAAGGATAGAGTAAAGGGTTGTTAATACGCGAAGGTCTCTTCTCTGTCGGATGGACATCCACTTCAACTCATACCTGTGTCCAGAAACATGAACGTACTTACGCAAGTTATTAAATTACAGTTGAAATTGAAGTTTGATTGAATTTATAAAGAGAGAATTGCTATGGCCTCATAGAAAACTAAATTTTCGCGTTAATACCTGTTACATAATATGTTTTTAATATCTTACTGGTACAGATATACGCGGCAGGGGATAATTCGTACGGACAGTTGGGCGTTGGTGCGGCGTGGTCTGGCGGAGTGGGCGAGGCGGCCGTATCTAGCGGCGCGCTGTGTCCCACCGCCGGGAACTTCACCGCGCCACTTGTATCATTGGCCGCTGGACACTATCATTCCGCTGCCCTTGATGTCGGCGGACGACTTTATACTTGGGGGTGAGTACTCAACACTTTAATAAACAACTTACTTATACCTACTTCGCTAGACTTTTCCTAGTATTCACTATGTAAGAAATAAATAATAAATTTAAAAAGATTTGTCCTTTTTAGTATAAAGAGAGAATAACCACGGCCGCATAGAAAACTGGCGTGAAATAACCAGTGTTGTGGTTCGTCTTGTGACTGAGGTTACCGGAGGTCCAATTCCCGCTCTCCCCACCTCTGATCCCCAAAAGGCTGGCATCGCACTCATAACTCCTCGTCTAGCGTGTAGTCGTGTAGTGTCCATGGGCGGTGCCGTTTGCTTTGATATTAGATGATATTACGCTCGTTAAAAATCGCACAGAAATCGACCTCATTGTTAAAGTAGAGGTAGTCGGGACTGGCAGGCAGACTTTCTTTTCTTTCAGTTAGTAAACAAATACACGGTTTCAGTTAGTAAACAAATATGAATGCACAGTTGGTGCGGTGGCTGGACAACTGGCTGCCGTGCAACGTGTCGCGGGTTCGATTCCCGCACGGAACAAAACTTTGTGTGAACAACAAATTGTTGTTTCTGGTCTGGGTGTCATGTGTATGTGATATTGTATGTTTGTAGACGCACCCACAATACAGGAGAAAATCCTAAAGTGAGGCAATGTTTTTTTTTTAAAAAAAGAAACACGGTTTCCTTTGTTACTGACTAAAAATCTCTTCAAGCGGTCCATTAAAGAGCAGCTCCGTATATTGCCTCTGCTGGCTTTTGCCAGTAGTTCAAGGTATATCTATTTTTAATTACCATTTTCATTCATTATAGATGGGGTGTCCATGGTCAACTATGTCACGGCAGTATTGATGACGAATGGATACCAAAGTTAGTCACGAAGTTCCAAGGTAGAAAGGTAAGTGATTTACTAGAAATTAGCTAATCTTCACTAAATAAAGACGCTTCTTCTGTCCCTATATTCCGACATATGCTTAAATCTTTAAGAGTACGCAACGGATTTTAGTGTAGTTTTTTAATAGAGTGATCGAAGAAGTAGGTATGTGCATAATAAACTCCGTTAAATGGTAAAGAAAATTTGTATCAACATTGCCAGTGTGCGAAGCCGGGGTGGGTCACTAGTATGTAATAAACAAATAGAGACTTGGATGCAAATTTTTGCATACATTGATTTATTATAATAATCTTAACAATCGCTTTAAGTAGGTAAAGGGTTCAGCTAAGTAAAACCTATATAACGTGCTAAAAAACAAATAAATGTGATTATTATTATATGTTTGTTCTTTCCTTTCACGGGACCACAGGGTCCCGGACTTTTGGAAGGCATACGAGGAGCCGAAGCCAACTCGCAGAGGCCCGTTGAACAATTTTAATCTAAATGTGATGGTATTATTATTACCTATTAAACAATTTCAATTATATTTCAGGTATTGAGTGTTGGATGCGGGGCCTGTCACACTGTTGTACTTATGAAGAACGGTGAAGTTTGGGCCAGTGGCGCCGGTGTCTTCGGCCAACTCGCCACGGGAGAGCGTTACAAGTCCTCAGTACCTGTACGCGTGCGCCTACAAGACCCTGCTAAGTCCATAGCTGTTGGATATTTCCATAACGTAAGTGCAGTGTTAATTATTTTTATAGGGTGACGGGTATTGGCTGATGTTTAAATACGTGATTGTACTCATGATATTAAACAGCTTGCTCAAAGAAACTATTTTACTATACCCATTATAAAGTTCAAACGAGATCGCGCGGGGCCTCGCCGCTAACAGCTGATCGGGCGATGCACGGCGGACGCTTCGAAGTTTGTTAAGTAGTAATAAAACTAATGAGTATAGAAAAACACTTTTTTTGGGAAAGTTGTTTGTTGTCATGAGTGCAATTAAGCGTATAAATATCGGTAACTAATTGCCATTCACCCTATATGTATTCTTCAATCATTAGGTCATCTAACTAGAATATCTCCAATGTTATTCAAATATTGACCAAATTAAAAATCATTGTATGTTTAAGTGTGGATAAACGCCATTGTGTTTGGCCTTGAAAACGTTTCAGCTCTTAGGTAGATACATATGTAGATGAAATATTGGTGTAACTGAAAATTATACAAATGTTCTTTAGTTTTAAGGACCGCGTCGTACTTAACTAATCATCATTTATAACGTGACAAAGATCGTATGAAGTTCTTAAGATCCCGCTATAAAGCTTCTAGAGTTCAACTCTATCGGTATTGGAGCAACGGTAGCTCGTCCGTACGATAACTGAACCCCTAAATAGACAAAAAGAGATGGAATCAATTTATTTCTTAAAAAGAACAAAAATGAATTAAATGAATACAATGAAGGAATAAAAATAATAAATATTTTAAAACATTATTGTTTGTCCTACTCATTGAAATATTATTATTTAACAAAGGGTTACACCGCCGACACCGTAATATTACGGGCTCTGAAATTTGTGTCCGAATCACCACACGTCTAATTACGTAATTTTACCAAAAAAGTTCTAATAGTGCACAAACTCCACTTAAAATGTATAAATTTTAAGAGTTTCGATTCAATTAGAATCAGTAGTTCTGGAAATTAGCGCGTTCAAACAAACAAGTAAACTCTCCAGCTTTATAATATTACCAGCAATCCCTCCCCGAAAACCCTCACGTATCAAACAGCGAAATCGTTAGGCCGTTTCCGAAATCAATATTTTTTAAGTAATCAGCGCCATCTGCCGTGCTGATTTGTGAATCTAAGCCATCCGGGACGCCAATCAAACGCGTACAGAAAAAAATCATTTAATTCGGACAAGCTGTTTAGGAGGATTTCAATGATATACATACGTACAGCAGAATACATAAAGATAAGTAAAGACTCTGCTAGTATGGATGAGCTATTGTATTGGAGTATTATTGGTTGTGCAGTTGGCGTTAACAAGTAAGGGTGAGGTGTGGATATGGGGGGCGAGTCCGCAACAAGTCCGCGCGGCGGCGGCGCGGCGCCAGGCCGACGCCGACTCGTCGCCGCCGCCCGTCTCGCCCGCCTCGCCTGCGCCCGCCTCGCTCGCCTCGCTCGCGCCCGCCACCCCGCAACCCGACCCACATCTACTACCACAGCTACTCGACACTACCAACATACGCGGAGAAATCGTGCAGGTAATATTTAATTGACAAAACTCATGTGCAATCTTTAATGCAAAAAAGAAAACTTATCATGAAAAAGTATTAAAATATGCATACGTTACATACATACATATATTATCTTGGACACTTCTGGACTAATTATTAATATGGACCTACTCTCACGAATGGGTCGGTTCGACCGGAGTGGTACCACGGCCTCACAGAAAACCGACGTGAAATAACCACAGCTTTGTGTTTCGCGGTGTGAGTGAGGTTACTGGAAGCCCAATTCCTCCCCAATAAATAAATATCCGAAACCCTTACCTACAAAGGTCGGCAAAGCATTCGTAACTCTTCTCGTTCGTAACTCTAAACAAAAAACGAGGATTGCCAAAATATCCACACTGTAATGCCAGGTTGAAAAGGGATAGCCGTTCTACACTTAAACCATATACCCAAGCATTTAGGCTAGATAATATTAACATTGTGAAGAGATTTCTAATAGTCATACCGAGTTTATAAATCAGTCAAGTTGTTCTGTAACATTCTCAGTGATTTAAAACAATTTTGCAGATGGCGGCCGGTTGGCATCATTCATGTTTACTGAATAATGCTGGTACAATGTACACCTGGGGTCTCAACTTCGATGGACAGTTAGGTCAGTACTTAACATTTCTGCATGCATTAATTCAGTTCAGTTCAGTTAGCCGGCTATTGATAATGATACCTCATTTTAAAAACTGTTTACTCCTTTCCAGGTAGCGGAGACCGAAAGCAAATTATAATACCAACCGAAGTAAAAATAGTCACAGATTCTCAAACAGAAATTGGTAAAAATAACAACGTTAAAACACCAGACAGTGAAATTAAAGATTTTAAAACAAATGCACTCGTAGCTTGTGGAGGCGACTTTACAGTTTATATTGACAATGATGGCAAAATATTCGCCTCTGGCACCACTCACGTGCAGGTAAATGTCGTGTTACCTTGTTCCATGTATGCATAATTTTTATATGTCACCGGAAAATAACAAGATCCGTAAGTTTATCATTTTACTAGGAAGTTTATAAACTTTCGTAAGATTCTAAACGGGAGATAAATTGTAATATTTTACGTACACATTTTCGTAAATTGATCAACTTACTGAACTCACTCGTAAAATAATAAGTAAGCAGTAACCAAACGCTACGCGCGATCTGATTGGTTGGCTGTCACGTGTCACTTCTCCTTCCTCGCGGCCGCCATTGCTGGCCACGGAACATAAACAAACCGGTTTGCTATTGAAACTGATAAAAGAAAACTCAACTCACTACTTTCGTGCCAGAGAGGAACCAGGCATTGTTGCTTCCAATTCATAGTTTTTCAAGTCTGATTATTCCAGTCTATGGACACAAGCATTGCCACTATTAACATTGACCAATCAGAGAGCAGTGTGTTATTTTACTTATTTCAAAGATCGTAATATTTAAAAGAGTTTCTGTGATTGGTCGAACCATATAAAATCTTACGAATAGATATTCGTTAGTTTATAAATTTACCGTATGACGTCGCAAATTGATAAATTAACGAAAATGTGGACGTAAAATATTACAATTTATCTCCCGTTTAGAATCTTACGAAAGTTTATAAACTTCCTAGTAAAATGATAAACTTACGGATCTTGTTATTTTCCGGTGACACACACATTTTAACTCACATTTAATGTTTTAGCATCAAAGCGAGAAGGACAAAGGAGGCAATCGCGTGATAATGATGAAAACAACAAAACGCGTTATTAGAATCCCAGCAAGTCGCAGCAGCAACAAATTCTTATTCCAACCTATCGACAGAATTGATATCATGTTTCCCTTCGATATCGAAGATTTGCAAAGGAATCCAATCGAAGCCAGGCTAAACCCACTAGCTTCCATGGCAGATTTCAAAAAGAAATCGTGGGCTGACGATATGATCCTTATACTGAAGCCATGGCTAAGCCAGGACAACTTCAAAGATAATTTAAACTTGGCGGCCAAGTTCGCATACCATAACAAAATATATTCGGAATGTTTAAGGTTGTTATTAGATCACTTAAAATGTGAAGTACAAAGTGATCAAACATACGCGACTCACACTACTATAGAAGAAGATCGAGAAACGAACACACCATCTACTTCTTCTAAGCAAGACCAACTGAAATTGGCAATAAAGAGTATTATAGCGAATCGTATCAAAGAAGTTTCGATGTCTATACTTAATGAAGAGCCGTATCCGCTGATAGATACATCCGTTTTCAAAACTCTGCCTTGTTGTTGCGATGAATTAAAATACCGCAAGAAAGGAGCATCTTCGAAAACGACTGTGAACTTATCAGAAACTGATATTTCTGTAAAAGCAGCTGAGAGAATTGACAAATGTATGAGCATATTCCCGGTAGATACAGAGTTGTGGGAATTATGTTTCCGACTTTCTAAAAATTACTTTTTAGAAAATCACCTGTCTATATCAAAGCTGGAGGTTGTGTTGCGTAAGTATATGGAATCTAATGCCACAACGATGGCAGCAGCCATTATGTACTCGAATGATTGTAATCAATACAGCAAAATACTTTCACCAACATTTTACTTGAATATGTGCAATCAAGTTTTAGATACTTGGGGTTGATCCTCAGACTAATACTCTTATTTATTCACTTATGCCCGGTTCCTATAATTGAGAAACGATCCGTTTTAGTTTTAGTAGTTTTATATAAGACTCGTAAGCTAAAACCGTTCCTATAACAAACGTCTCGTCGTGCAACTTACTGACGGTTTGCGACTAACGGATGTCGGTAAGCGAATTGTATGGAGATCTATGGTGTCTGTGGTGTTCCTATAAATATTTTAACCGTCAGTAGACGGTCAAGATAACTATTCGTAATGTCATTTGGTCGTAATGCGTATACAACGACGATTCGTTAAATATAGGAACCGGGCATTAGACGACTTATTCTCGAATATCTCGTACTGAACTACGTGCCATTTATTTCGAATAAAACAGTTGACAAATCTAAATATCTTCCGTCTTACATTATATTCTATCTCAATACTCAATGGGAATAAACTCCACTTATTAAAAAGTGTTTGATCAAAATGAAAACTATTTCATATATTTTGGCCATAAACGTGTAGGCCTGCTAGTACTCTCTCTTATAATTAATACTCGAATATTTTTACTAAATGTATCGGATTAACGTCGTAGTAAAACATAATATTAGACTGAATGTCTTCAGTTATTTTTATATTACGTAGATGTGCTATCACTAGAAAAGGCTGCTATTTTTATTACACAATTAATACGTACCCGTAGGATAGAAATTATTCAATTGTCATAATATTATTCTAATGTTTTCTTTGTGAGCTATGGTTGTTTTCTTATTGCTAATATCTATTGGTTTGTTTGTTAACACTTACTAACGATACTCTTAACTTTTTAATACTCACATTGTGTTTTACTAATGTTAATGTCGAATAAAATCTGTTATTATCTTTATATAATGTTTTACGGTGCCATTCTTCAAGTACTGTGTAGTTATTTTAATTGTTTTATGTGTTACGTTATTTTCTCTAGTGTTCGAATTTATTATACTACAGTAGTCTAATGCCGTCCCTTTACAAAAGAAGACCCTGCAAGAAAGAAACAGAAAATAATATCTAGAATATCAACAGGCTTATTTTTCATATAATAGTTTGCTAAATTATTGAAAATCTTGGAACATTATTCATCGTACCATCACAAACGTTTATTCGTCATTTTTGGGACAAAATAAAAGTGTGGTGGGCACCGGGTCCAACCTACACCCTTTTAGTCATAATTAGAAATGAGATTTTCTACTTTATTGTTTTCATGTAAAATTGAAAATTCAATGAAAAAATTAGCTTGGAATAAAATGTAATTGTTGTGAGAATGTCTAAACTTACATTATTCCAGACTATTATGGTTTTTTTCGGCTCAACAGCCTTCGACGTGGTTTAATCTAATAGTCTGTAATGTTTCTGTTATTTTATAGAGATTTTATACACTAAGATCTTTGTATTTGTTGTCATAATCTAGTCATTAGTTTAATTCCAAATGTTATGATTCATTAATAGGACAATTACCTTGTTCCTAAGTTACAATAGTAACTGTGGTATAATGTATGTATGTATAACGATTTTTTTACATCTAATCTGGTTTATGTATTCCGAATAGAATTCGATTCTTTTATTTGACATTGAATAAATAATTAAGTTAATAAAAGCAAAATATAATTTAATTCTTGTTTTTATTGCTCTCCATGCTGTTTTCAAAGAATAGAATAAGGGCTGGTTTGTCAATGGTTAGATATCTGGGGAATGATAATAATAATTATGATGCGGTCGCGTCAGATTGTTTGTATAAGAGAGTGACAGCAACAATTTTATTCCTCAGATAAGATTTATCTAATTATTAAAAAAACCGCCCTCACGCTCTTTTCCACCAAGAGATATATAAGTAAACCAAACCGCTTTGGTGCAAATTGATCAATCAAAAACGAAGACTTCACAGTACCCGTAAAACGGGGTGAATAGAAGTTGAGGGGTAAATAGATACACGAAAGGGGTGAATGGACGTTGGCGAATTTTCCTTGTATCTATTCACCCCTCATCCGTGTTTATTCACCCCTCGAATTCTATTCACCCGTTTTACCTATTGGCAGTGGAAGAAAAAGCGCGGCAACGTCCTAGTGGTCTCTCGCAAACTTAGAAATCAATAGAGTGATGTCTCAATTGTCTAGGTATGGCATTTGCAGTGAGAGAGTAAGGGGCGCAACAGAGCCCAGAAATACCTACCTGTCTAATTTTCAATAATAACTCATTAGGTCAACTATGCTCACGTCTTTTCGCTTTGTTAAAACCAGGCCTTAGGATAAACCACCCCTTTCTTTGAGATTGGGAAGGATTAGGCCTCCGGTAACCTCACAGGGCGAAGCAAATCTGGTTGTTTAAAGGTTTTTTTTTGTAAGGTCGTGGCGGCACTCCTGTAGAACCGATCCATTTATGGCGAAGCATGGCGTTCCCACACTTAAACGCTAAGACGTACACGACTCAACGACAGAGACTGATGATTCTTCTACTTGTCTCATCAGCGATTTACCACATTTACAGATTACATGGCTCTTTTTGTGATGCTAGGATTCTTTAGGAAGGACGCGTAGATGCGGTGTCGAAGTGTCGGCAGATATTAATACAAGGTTTATTTATGGCGTTAATAAAAGATATTGTATCGTTAATAGAAGAATGTATTTTTGTAAAACTATATTTACAAAATAAATATACAAGGTATAAATTATTTACTTTCAAATGCAAGATGCAAGTCAAAGCAATCTTCACTAAAAAAATAAATAAAACGGAATGAATTACTAAAATAAAAATATTAAAAAAATCAGAAATAAGCCGTAAAGGCGTGTACACCAATTGTATAAGAAATAAAAGTAATATTTCGTTAGGCTTGGTTCTTTAAACAAACTGAACTGAGATAAGTGAATCAAATGGGAAAGTGACAATATCATACTTGTAACAGTATCCAAATGACATTCAGATTCACACACGATTGCTTAGAGCGAATCTATTATACAACTAACTTAAAAGCCCGGCTTGTTCTTGAGTGGGTTCACTTTGATAACATTAGACCTACAATTAGAAGTTGATGGGTTTTCCACAGTACGCTGCAAGGTTTGCTTCACGAAGAGCTTCCGCACATGTCTGAAACAAAGGTATTATGTAATATCCTGATTCAATGGAAAGGAAACGCGGCATGCCTTAAAAATATATACAGCTTAGTTTATATTTAATTAGGAAATGTGTAAATGAACTTACGGGATGCGCATGGCACACTCTGGCGACATCTTCAGCCGCCGCTCCGTATTCTTGTGCTAAAACAGCCTCGTTGATCAGCTCGCCACCACCCTGTTCAAATAAATATTAATTTAAATTATCCAATATTTTATTATATGTAGCTGAATACTTATATGTTGTGTATATACTCACAGGTCCAATAATGTGGGTACCGAGGATAACGTCTGTCGTTTTGTCTGACAAAACTTTAACGAAACCGTCGGGTTCACCGTTAGTTTTCGCTCTTGAATTGGCCAAGTAGGGGAACTTGCCTACTTTGTATGCCCTACCCTGTAGAAAAAGGAGATATTATGTTGATTATAATGAGCCACTAGAGAATGAATCATTTAATAACTATTTATATCATACAAACTTACCTCTTTCTTGAGATCCTCCTCCGATTTGCCGACCCAACCAACTTCAGGTGTTGTGTAAATTACAGACGGGATCGCGTCGTAGTTGAAGTGAACTGGCATGCCCTGAAGTATTCAATTATTTAATATAATCTTTTGCTTAATTGGTAATATTATGTTGTAAATGGTCTAGGTATATTCTGTATACTATGCAAGTATAATGTTTCAACAGAAAAGAATTAATGGTACCTTAATTCCTTCAACACACACGATTCCTTCATCTTCAGCTTTGTGGGCCAACATAGGTCCATGAATGCAGTCACCAATGGCGTATATTCTGGAAAAGTATGGTATTACAATAAGACAAAATCGATACAACAAATGAATGACCAATCAAAATAATCAATAACTAACCCAGGGACTGTAGTCTGGAACCTATTGTTAACGGGAACTCTGCCCTTGTCGTCGAGAGCAATTCCGACGTTCTTAAGACCAAGATCAGTGGTGTAAGGACGGCGACCAATGGAAATGAGCACAACGTCGCATGTCAACTAAGAAAAAACGTTTGTTATACATTATTATGATGTCGAAATAATACTTTATTACACCGTGAACAACTTATATCTCTTACAGTTTCCTTGGTGCCACCCTTTGATGGCTCGACTTCAACTTTGACGGAGCCACCCTCTTTCTTTACTGAAGTCACTTTAGTGTTCAATTTGAAATTCATTCCTTGTTTCGAAAGAATCTTATGTAAGGTCTTGGCTACTTCACCATCAATACCCACACCTAAAAATAATATTTTATAGTAGTATTTGTTAAGCTGCTGCTTTTTGAAGTATTTTTTGTGTAAAATGATAAAAACTTTGAATTTGGCACAAACCTCCAATAGAGCCAAGGAATTCAATGGCAGTGACTTCGGCACCTAACCTCTGGTACACAGAACCAAGTTCCAAACCAATAACACCTGCACCAATGACCAGCATTTTTTTGGGAACAGCCTTAAGTGAAAGAGCTCCAGTAGACGTGATGATTTGTTCTTCATCAAACTATTTACAAAACATAAAAAATACGATAAATATAAAATTTTTCGTATGAAAAACTTTTTACTAACCGAAAGTTATTTACTAACCGCAACTCCTGGGAAGGGTGTCACTTCAGAGCCAGTGGCGATAAGAATGTTTTTCGTGTTAATTGTTTCGATGCCTTTTTCTCCTTTCACTTGCACCTTCTTAGGGTCGATAATTGTTCCTACACCACGAACTAATTGTACCTATAATACATACCCATTACTCAGATATATTATTCACAATATTCATTCCATAAAAATTTAAGGTTATTATTATTATCAGAGTCCTTTATAACAAATTAATCAACTTAAATTAATTTTCCAACCATGCAATTAAATTTATTATATGCTAAGCCATAAATAACGACATAAAAACTTTTGTATTGATTGTGTTACCAATACAATGATTGAGTGTAACAAAACCAACCAAATTAATTCAATTGTAATTGATTCTGTAGAGAAAGAAACATTAAGCATATTGAACTGGAAAATGATTCACTAAATTTATATGTTCCATACAATTTAGTTTAAATTTGGATATTCTATTGTTCAAGGATACTACTATACTGTACCTTATTCTTTTTGAATAACATGCCAATGCCTCCAGTAAGAGCTTTAACAGCATTAACTTTGTATTCCATCATTTTATTAAAGTTGAAGTTGACTGGGCCGGTTTCAATACCTCTGTTTGCGAAATCATGTTTAGCTTGATGATATAAGTGTGTGTTGTGGAGTAGCGCCTTGGAAGGAATGCATCCTACGTTAAGGCAAGTTCCGCCTAGGGTTGGATCCTTCTCCACTGACACTGTCTACAACAAAATACTTGCTTTAAAAAACATTCAGTGACACTACAAATATATTACATGATATGGAATTATAACATGAAAAATAGACAATAAATAGATTTGCAATAGTTCATAAAATATTATAGAAAATGGTCATTACTTTGCTTTACACATATTACCTATACTTTTTTAATAATATTTTGTGGTATATGTTGAACAATAACATTTAATAATTCACGACATATTACAGGATTGTCAGCACTAGAATTTTAGCAATCATAAAAATAGAAATAGACTGCATCCCAAAATGTATAAACACTTATTTTATACATGCATGACTTAGTAATCTAAACAGACTAATTAATTGCTAGTACCACAAACTAACCCACCAACACTGTAGTTCTATCTACACAATATTGACTTATCAAGATAACCAACTAATAAACTCCACTTGTTTGCAAATTATTGACATTGGGCATTTCACAAATTTAATGTAGTAACAGTACCTTGTATATTTCTTACCTTCATACCCAGTTGTGCTGCCTTAATTGCCGCAACATAGCCGCCAGGGCCCGAACCTATCACAACTAAGTCAGCTTCATGAGTTGTGGCATAGTTTCTTGTTACATTTATAACAGGTCCTCCTTTCTGTGAATAGAATCAATAAAATAAATAATTAGCAGGTACTATTTATTTTATAATTTTGGTAGGTCTTGCACTAATTAGATATCGAGTACAAACATAGGTACCAAATTTCGATTTGATTAAGTACTACAATGGACTTGATGATGTGTGAAAATACAGGACCCTGTACTGTAGTAATCATCTTTGATTTTAAGTTAATAAAGATTTGTTAAACAATAAATTAAATTTTGCCTCCAATTTGGTCTAATTAGACTACATTTCTTATGTGAATCCATAGTTATATTATCACAACTTCAAAATCCAGTAGTTCAACTAAAATGAGTATTGATATTCTAATTTAGAGCTGCAATAAATTATAGTGTCGATTTAGTTAGATAACGTAACAAATCAAAGTCATACAAATCGCGATTTCTTGTTTTTCCAATTTGATAAGAAAATATTGATGACAGTCGGTCACATGTTTGAAGGTCAGTTCAGGTTATAAATCGCTAAAAAAATCTGTGAATTCATCTAAGTCCATTAAACTAGTTTCAAAACTTTAGTGAATTTGTTTTTGCCGGTATATGAATAGTACAAAAATCAAAGCGAAAATTGTACCTACGCAAGGGATCCATTGCATAACATTTGACAGCTTTTTGAATCTCATTCCAAAATCTAATTCAAAAAGTAATATATTACAAGCTTACCCTGTAGGCAGATGAAGCAATTCTAAGAAACGTGTAACCCATTATTTAAACGGGATTATGCCCTTATTTAATTACGGGATTGCTTGTTTTATAAAAAAATCGGAACCCTGGCGACAGGCGACTGACTGACCGAACGAATAAACGTCATAAAATTGAAGTTACATTTTAGCGCTTTTACTATTTCTACTTTTAGAGCAGCACACGCCATCTAGCTTGCTCGCACGACTTACGGCATGTTGTAAGATGAAATAGAACTACCAATGGCGTTAAAAAAGGGTAGTACTGTTTATTGAGAGCTGGAACGTGACTGCTAATGTTGCCATTTTAGTTACAAAATATAACCCTGGCTGGAATGGTTTGAAGAAAAAGAAACGTTCAAGTTTTTCTTCGAATTCTTCTTTGTATGAAAACGTTTTTGGTAGGCATAGTAAAACCGAGGATAAACAGCTAAAAAACAAAAAACTAATTACATATCGTTACATTTTTTTATTATAGCAATACAAAAATGCGCGCGCTGCTAGAATGCGAAGTTTGTTTATCAATCAAATCAAGCGAAGGACGGTGTCTGGTGGTGTCTCGAAACGTGTGAGCGTGTCTTACGTAAATCGATTTTAGAATACAATTAAATCCATATTTATTTACTTGTAAACATAGCAGAGCGATACAAGTCTAAAATAATTAAGTGTAGTGCGGCTACTTTTCTTTAAAAGGTAAGATTTTTCTATTTCCCTTTTTTACAGTGAAAGAACGTTTGTATTTAAGTAAAAAAAGTCTGTTATCTATATCACTACTATTATTTTCATTTGAAATTTTTGCTTGAGTGTTTGAGTTATTTTTTATACACACTCATAAATACTTAGGTGTGAAATATCTACTCTCTGGAAGACTGTATTGTTCCAATTAAAACGTTTATTTACACCAGCAGATTACCTAAAATATTCTAACGTGATATTTTGGTTTTTGCCTCGGTTCCAGATTCTAGTGATATGATAAGTTCCTAATAGAAACACAAATCCTCTGATAAGTAAATAATTCGGTACTCATGTTATTTCACCATTTCCAACAAATCATATGTTATTTAAAACCTTATATTAAAATGTGCTGCATGACTGCATGTGCAATAATATCTCCAATTCCTAAATCAAACCCTGATATTCGAGGTTCCTGGTCCGGTGTATAATAAAGACATGCCATTTGCATGTAGCTATATCAATACGCAGTTTTGATTGCCTAATTTTACGTCGAAACGCTTTTCCGACTTCAATAAAATTAACGTAGTCTAACTGGATAATTTATACTTATTTATTGTTTTATATCAATATAATATTATAAAAAAAATAGGTTCGTACCTTATACTGAAATCAGTTCGTATCGTATCGTACGAACCGATGCCGGTATACACTTAAACACGGGGTGCATGATATTAAAATCGTTTAATCATAAAAGCAACTTGATCAATTTACCGTTATTCTAGAGACCTAAATACAAGGTACCTAAGTATGTATGGGTACTAATCTGAACACCATTCTCACATTTCTTACCCACGTTACTCACTGAGCAAAAAGACTTGGGTTACCTAACTAGGTGCCTACCGAACGATTAAAACCTGTGGCAAAAGTAGATATGCAACTATCAAAAAAAAATATACGGGACTTGCAATAAACTAAACAGATAGGTAAAAGACTTGACCTCACAAACGATACTTGTAATGTTCAACTGGAAATAGGAATGAAGTTCTGTGACGTCATAAGTTCATTTTGCAAAATGCTATCGACACGCTAAGATGAAGATAGAAATAGGTACCTACATAACTAAGTAGATACCTAGAGCAAGGTAATAATATCTACAAGTATTTCAACTTCATAGAAACGGCCGAAACGCGAACTATACCTACGCGCCCGATGTCGGGACGCGCTCGGGACGCAGACGGACGCGGCTGTACCGCAGTGACGAACGGACGGTGTGTTGTCTTTTATTTAGAAATCAGCTCGAGTACTTTATTTAATATGACGAATAGGAAATATTTTGCTGTGTTTGGTTGCATGAATTCGTCAATAACGCATCCAGACATAAGTTTTTTTAAATTACATGGAAACTCTGAAAGGTAAGACTATAAAATAATTTTACTTACTAGTAGCCTAGGTAGGTACATAATGTGTGTCTTTATAATGGATCATTATTTCCTTTTATCTCACGTAAACAGGTGTTTGAATTTATAATAAAATGAATAAAGTTATTGAGACGAGTGAAATAGGTAGTTATAGGCGGTTCTGGTTCTGAATGAATCATGATACGTTAGGTACCTACCTACTTACACTTGTGTTAAAACGGTTCATGTATGTTTTGTTAGTTTGTATAATTCAAAGTAGAGAGTGTGGTATTTTATTATTAATAATATTTGTTTATTATCTGTGTTTATGAATAATACTAGAAAAAGATAATTTGGCAGTCTCTGTGTCATTAGATAGTTTTCGATCATAAAGAGTTTTTGCTGCTGCTTTAACAACATAATACCAATAAAAACTGTTTTTTTTTCTCGGTTTTAATAACAGCTAGACTCATGTAATATTTTGATGTTTGATGGTTGTGATTTTAGAACATTCGTAGTCAGCTGTTCAGTTCGGCATTGGTGGCCAAAGAAATTTTGTTTTGATTCGTTGCGAGTTAAGTATTTATTTTTAGCACTTTATTTGTTTATATAAAAAAAGGATATTTACAATCACAAAACTAAATGGAAACAGAAAGTAGACAAAGGTAATTAAAATACTGGAGACGAGCAGCCCTAACGCATGTTTACGTACCGCGCGGCTGTAGGTATTTATTTCTTTCAAGCGGCCGAGTTACAATACTGTATGATATTTTTACTGTGCCTAGAGCTACTTTGGTAGGTACATAAGTACTTAAACTGAGTATGTAGGTGTTAATAACTAAAGTGTCAAGTCAAAGGCCAAGTACAGATTACTAGTTTAAGCCAGGTAGATTATTTTGGCAGTACGACTAGCTAGGATCTTAGTATTTTATTATTCAATTATTTTCAGACATCTTTTTTATACTTTTATGAATGAGAATAATAGGTTTGTTGTAACATTAACAACTTTGTATCAAAACAAGTCACTCGTGAGTAATTCATGTTCAATGATCCATTTATACTAGAGTTACGTGTGAAACATCTACTAAATCCATTGTTCAACTACTACTACCTAGTACTTAATCTTGTTTAAATGTAAACGATGCGCGGCCCTGTTCAAAATCAAACCAATAGTCATAAGCCGGTTAAGTTATAAGACATTGTGGTTTGTACGAGTAGTTCAGTTCGGTTTACCTGCGTAGTAGTAGGGCAGGTAAGTTAATCCTGTTAGGTGGCCGTGACACGTTGCCCGGCTTCTGTATTGAGGCATTTAGTCGTCGCTACTCGGCCCGCATCCGTCCTCGCAATGTGCGACGCCAGACCACGTAAAACTGCACCTGCCATACAAGAGAAACTCGCCATTTATGAAAACGGTATACATATCATATCCATATCTCATCGTAGGCTCCCGATTAGGCTTGGCTTACAATTTACGATTGAAAGTATCATAACCCTGTCCTATTACAGCTACTGCATTGCATTTACATTTGGACAAGGTAGTGTTTCACCACGGCTAGTTGTTATTTGGCATACGTACTAATATGCGCAGGCTAAACAAAAGCACATGTCCAGCGCTTTCACGCCGTCTGGTTATGATATCTGACTACGATGACATACTGCACTGCCCTGTAACCTAATACCATTTGTTCTATTTATATTTTTGTAACGTTCGCCCGTTAATTATACTTAGCTCAATTGTTATAAGCTGCGTAGTTAGCGTTTCATGTATGTACGTCAATTTTATCAATGAACCCACTATTTAATGTTTGTTCTAATTTCGTATCATTTTTGCCGAGATAAAGACTTAATGTTAAAGAGTTAGTTTTAGTTACATATTGTGTCACTGATTAATACGGGAAATAATATAACTAGTGTTCTTTTGTGGTTCTTATCGCAACCGAGACTGAATGCGTCACGAATTTATGATCCTTAGCTTTATAATGCGCTCTTGTCAGTCATGCAGAGCACAATAACACCTTGTTAACAAATCCTCATATGAATATGAAGTCGAGATTAGCTTCGCTGTGATAAGTTACTTCAGAGGTGACCGACTGTTTTATCTTGCAACCGTTTATCATTCAAAGAACGCACGTGTAGGAGGCAGACACGTAACTATTACGATGCCCCATACTAATACTTCCATAGAGATTTCCATAAAAACAAGTTAAGTATATTTTGTGTGTTGACAGCCGCATCGCGCATGTGAAAATATCTTAGAGGAATATATGAATAGATAGACAGAGTTAATTAAATGCTGCCTTTGTGGATTTGACTAACAATATCGAGAAAGTAGAATGAATCAGTAACCTAATTAAATTAGTATCGTATCGTAACACTTTGATAAAACTTGCATAATATTCGACAAAAGATAATAAAATAATCCATAATGTGTAACGTGGGTTTTATTAGTGACATATGGAATGCGGACAGTATAGAGACAGTTAGATTTTTGTGCATCGCATGTTCAAGTAGGGATTGTATTGTGTGGTGTGGGCGGTTGCATTAAAATTATGTATGCAGCAAGCGTGGTACATTTGGCACGGGAGCCAGGATAAAGGGGACTGGGAATTCTGGATAAGGAATCAACGCCCTGGGTGGCGGCTTCGGGCTATTTCAGTGCCTTTAAAAGAAGATTAAAGAAAATACATTCACTTGAATTATATTAATAAATGAGCATCTCATATTTTGTAAATCGTAATGTTATTAAGTAGTTATCAGGATACTGAAAACGTAACCGATGTAAAGCTTTAAAATTCAGCATTACAAAATGAATTTTTTACATCAGCGTCAATCTTAGAGCAGCGCAATATTATAAAATTGATGTGCCAATTACCACTTACTTAGCAATGTTTTCATTGCAATTTTTAATTTGAATTTAATTTTATTCAGCTACTATTGAGGTTAAACGGATCGATGTCATTGCCAAGTCTTTGCTGACGACGCGGATACAGCAATTGCGCATAATTTTTATAAACAAAAACAAGTATTCGTTAGTCTCAAGTTACTACTTATCGAAAAAATTAAATAACAACTGCCAAAAATCCTTCATGACACAACATGTCGATGTCAGTTCCATATTAAAAATTGATTATTAATAAAAAAAAAATAAACTTAACACGCGCACTAAGAATTTTTTTTTGGAAAGTAGGTTAAACAGAGGCCTTTTAGCCTATAAGATTTTTCTACAACTATCCTTTAAGGTTTAAAAAGTACCTACATGTACTTACATACGTTGTGCTGGAGGAATTAGTGCTAAATCATTCGGACGCATTGATATCTGTATTCACGCATGCCACGCAAGTTACGCAAAAAGTAAGGCATAATAAATGACACACAAACGCAATAAACAAATGTGTATTTAAATAATCAGTCGCGTAGTGTCCGTTCGGTGTTATGTTTCAGTGAAACGAATGGTCCACACTATACAAGGAAACAGCATAAATATTCCATATGTGATATGCAAACAAATTAATTATTATCTGCTTCCTTATTTTCTCCCAGCGGGAATTCCAATAGGAGCGTACTGCAGGACTCTTTTTAGCAATTAAAACAGCAATGGTGTAGTAGTATACATAAGTATTT